AATTTTTAAGGTTCTTGGTAACATTTGATAGAGCATTAAATAAGCTACAACATACCAGAAAATCTAAATTCTTGACTAACTGGTGAAAAAGTTGGTTTTTGTGACATAACTTAATTATCAAGCGTCAAAAATTCTGATATTTTGATATGTCCTATTACTCTATCTAATGGTACCAAGGATATGAAAAAGTGACCATTCTTTGGAAAGTTATGGGATCCAGACTGAACTGAGGTGCTCCGTCTTCTGGAGTTAACTTTCGAGGTCTTTTCGTTGTTCTATACCTAAATTCGTGTCCAGACTGTATATTAATATTTTAAATTCAAAATTCCAGGCTATATATTTAAATGAATTGAAACATCAAAATTTTGATTTATTTCAAAGAAAAGTGCATGCTATAGCCTTAAATAATAAAACTAGTGTAAGAAACATTAAGGTTCCATTTTTCTTTGTTATTATTTTAATTTTTATTATTTATTAGAATATTATTTTGGAATTGACAAAGGTTTAATTTTAAATTAATTTATGAAATAAATAAATATACTAACTTATTTTCGTTTGTTTTGTTTAATACAGGGTGACAAGAAAGAAATGGGGCACACATTTTATGCCATAACTTTATTCAAATTAGAGATAATGGGATCAAAACAAGCTTATATGTTAGCGAATTAAACAAGGAACAGATATTATCAAAAGTTTTCTAAGTGCCCACACTTTGCTCGGAAATAGAGTTGAATGCGCGCGGAAAAATTTTAGGCAAAAGTTCGCAAGTCAAAAAAATTTTTTTCAGACGGAAATTTTTTTATGAACGGAACATCTCAAACTAATTAAATTGACAGATATTGTACCTCAAAGTCTCCTCTTTCTGATCCACTTGTTACTGATTCCCAAAACCTTTTTTCTTTAATGATATAGTTTGTTATTTGCAAAAGGGTCAAAATCCCCTAATTTTCGTGAATCCTGGGGGTTTTCGTGAATTTACCGGAAATCCTTCAAGGGTTTTACAGCCTTGGATCTGAAGCCACTTTTGGCGTAGGGAAGGGATCCTTCATTAGAATTCTTCCTTTTTTAATAAGACCTTTAAGTGCAAAGTTGGCGTGCAGCCAATTTAACCGGTTTTAATCCATCTCAAATAATGCCACCGTACTCATCGGATTTGAATCCTTTGGATTTAATTTTTATTCTGTTTTGAAGGCAAGGGTCTGTTCTTAATAAAACAGAAGTTTTGAGTCGCTTTGTCAATCACTCGCCCAGAAATTGGAGAAAATCCCAACCATGTAGATCCGAACTTTTGCCTAAAATTTTTCCGCGCGCATTCAACTTTATTTCCGAGCAAAGGGTGGGCACTTAAAAATTTTTTGATAATATCTGTTCCTTGTTTAATTCTCTATCATATAAGCTTGTTTTGATCTTATTATCTCTAATTTGAATAAAGTTATGGCATAAAATGTGTGCCACATTTCTTTCTTGTCACCCTGTAAAGCAAAATTCTATTTTGCTTTATAAACGTTTAAGTTGTATTTCCCTATGAGAGCAATCTTAGTCTAAAAATTTTATCTTATAATATTCTGAATTAAAGAAAATTTAATAAATCTTTCCTCACCCAGTGGCCAAGAACCAAAAAATCTTAAAATGAGATTTTTTATTGGGTGTAGAAGGAAAATCTAACTTTATCCGTTAATTCTGCATTATTTAGGATGTGGAACATTTTAATATTTCTGACGAAAATGTAAGTTTAAAATTTATTAGTTTAATTTCTTTATTTTTATCAATCGAAAATTTATTTAAAATTTTAAATTATTTTGTTTTATTTATTTATTAACTCAGTTTGAATTTTATATTTTAAATAAAGCAATTTTTAATATAATAAAAAAATATTTGAATAATATGAAAATTATTTTTATATTTTTAGTGCTTCTATTTAATTTTGAAATATTCAATTAAATAAAACATAAAAATAAAATTTAGATAATTAAATTGATGGAATTGGAAAATAAAAATTATGATGAATATCAAAAACAAGTACATGGACTTTCTTTAATTTATGGAATTAAAGTTCATGTTATCAAGGTTTTGAATAGGAATTTTTTTAATTTAAAATTTATTTTTAATTAGTATATGCTTAATGAACGATTCAAGGTTTGCATAATTATATTAATAGAAAAAATATTTTACAATAAAAAAGGGATTTATCAAGGTATAAATTTTAGGAGATACTGAAAAAATTTTTTGCCTTTATAATTTATTTTTATAAATTTAGCAATTAAATAAATTATTTACTCAATCAACAAATAAATTAATTATACAACAAACTCCCTTCCATAAACCTCCAACATTTTCTCACCATAATATTGAACAAAGTCCTCATGGAATCATTAAAGGAAATTATCAGATTAACAATCCGATGTCTTTATTTAATAATCAAATTTCGACTCCAGCTTTAACTAATATACATAATAGTCAACATACCGAAAACGTTGGGACTAGTACAAGTAATCAATTAAAATCGGTTAATTACTCAATTGGAGATCAAACGACAACGATGAATAAAAGTATAGAAACTATTACTTGTAACTAATTCCTGATTTAATGTAAAGCATATAGCTTGTAAAAATAGCATATAGCTTTTAAATTCTAAAATAGAAGCACACGCTCTAATTAAGCACACCCTACGTGATTATAGAAATATAGAAGCACATGTGCTTCAATTAGAGAATTTACAGTATTTAGCTCCTAAGGCTATGCAGGAGGCGTCGTGGGTTAATGGATAACACATCAATACGAAGACACCCAACCGCCGATTAACGTTTTGCACTAGCTAAAGGAGAGAAATAGCTATAGCCCAGCTGCTTTACTATATTATTGAAATTAGTGTAGGACGAATATAGGGGTAGTTATTTGAAATAATAAATAATAATTTTGCTTTATATTTTAGATAACTACTATATAGAAGATGTGAAACATCTTAATATCTCTGACGAAGATGTATGTTTAAAATTTTATATTTTTAGTGCTTCTATTTAATTTTGAAATATTCAATTAAATAAAACATAAAAATAAAATTTAGATAATTAAATTGATGAAATTGAAGGATAAAAATTTTGATGAATATCAAAAACAAATATATGGACTTTCTTTGATATATAGAATTAAAGTTAAAGTTATCAAGGTTTTGAATAGGAATTTTTTTCAATTTAAAAATTTATTTTTAATTAGGACATCATCAATGAACGATTCATGAATCTCTATAAATCTCCAACTTTTCCCCACCATAATATTGAACAAAGTCCTCATGGAAACATTGAAGGAAATTATCAAGTTAACAATCCGATGCCCTTATTTGATAATCAAAATTTATATGGAAATAATTTTAATAATCAGCAGTTAAATTTAAATCAGTTTATTTGGGGAAATAATCAAAATACTGGAATAAATTATTTAAATAATTTGATTGATAATCAAAATGTTGTTAATGAACAAATTCAAAATTCTGAAATTAATATTAGAAATAAGCAAAGTTTAGATATTGATAATTCAAACAATGAACTGATGAAAGTAGTGGAAAGCAGTAAGGTAGCAAGAGGAAATGTTTTTAAATCTGGTTAGAAATTCGTTCCGATATTCGGATTTTCATACTTATAGACTCCTGGGAAAACATGGATTTTCCAGAAACGAAAACACCAAATTTGAATCAGTCTTGGACCTAATTTATGTTAAAACTCTATAAATAAAACAAGATTATTTAAGGCTACAGCTGAGAAACAAAAGCAAAAATTACCTATGGGCGAAGAAAATTTTTCCTAATTTTTATCAATATTTTGGTAATCTTATTGAAAATTCCTAAGACAAAAATGAACGTTTTAGATATTTCAAAAAACAATTTGGACTAATCTGACCTTGTCAATAATCAATTTAATTTCCAAAATAATCCCCATAAAAACACATTAACTTTATCTGAACAGCTAAACAACAAAAAAACTTCGAAGGGAAAAGAACCAATGAAATATCTTTAAAATTATAAATATTCGATAAATTTATAATTAGTTGGCCTGTATCAGGTTTCGAACGTAAAATCATAAATAGTATTTTGGAATGGTAACTCCAATCCTGATTCGGTATTGGGATGAAAAAATCGGGATTTGGATTTAGTAAAAAATATTAAGATGAGCAAAAACCACTGGTGAATACTCAATATATATATTACTAGATATTGTTATAATTTGAAAATTGGGGGATTAGGGGATTTAAGGAGATAGCTCTTTCGCCCAACTAGGTATTTTGTTTCACCAGTCATTAAAAATCATCTCTTCAATTTATATAATCGGGATTTGCATCGAGATTCTATGCAAATCCCGATACCAATCCCGGCTCGGTCTCGGGTAGTGTCGGTACCGGTACCGGGAGTACCGAAAATTCCCGACTCGGTATTTTCGGAAGTACCGCGGGAGTACCGAACCGTGCCGAACACTAGTCTCGGGATCAGAAAAATCTGGCTTGGGATTCAAAAAAACAGGGATAATCCCACTTTATCCCAACTCTATTTATATTTACAATTATAATATTACAAAATTTCGACGATATATCTATTAGTAATAATTTTTCCTTTATGTTGAAAATTCTTCTAAAAATTTCTAAAAATATGTAGCCCAAACAAAAAAGCAATTAAAGAGTAAATATTCTTTTAACCCATCCTTAGTAATTTTTTTTATAAATATGTATGCTTTACTTTTAAATAAAAAAAACTTAGTAATTCATTTAAAAATGTAGTTTCGTTGTTTTGAAATATTTTTAACAATAAAAACATAAAAAATTAAACAATGATTTTTTAACTAAATTTCGGGATTAAATAAATACAAAATATATATTACTAATATTTTTTACCTATTGTTATGAACATTAAAAATATTTTGTATATAAATGAAGAGTAAAATTATTTTTTAAATCAAAAACCAAATATATTTAAATATTAAAAATAATTCTAAAAAATAATTTCCAAATTTAAAATGAATCCATTAAAGATTTTTATTATTATTTCGATTATTTCTTTGGCTTTTTTCTTGAAAATTGATGAAATTAATGCTGATTCTTTGAGCGGAAATTTTAAAGGTAATTTTTAAAATTATAATAGGGAAGATTTAATTTTTATGGATAAAAGGATTAAAATTTAAACTAATAATTAAAATCCTATATACACTCTGCAAGAAAATGATAAGCACCCCCTAGTTTTAAGGAAAAAACGTCTAAAATATCATAATTTTAAATAGTTTTAAGAATTTCTAATTCATATTCAAATGAAAAAAACAATCATATATGAGTTATTTATGTGTAGTAGGGGATATAACTGGTTTTTCCTAAAACACGATTGTCAGATAATTATAAGCACCTATTAAGTTTTGGTATTAGGGGCCGTTCGAAAAATCTACAAAAATTCCAGTAAGCATATCTAGTGATGACAATTGAAAATACACAAGAAACGAAGTTCTAACATAACCCCTACATCGAGATACATAAATCCGCATATCAAAGTAAAACCGAGATAGCCGTCTTTAAAAAATATTTTCGGCCCCTTATAGGCTCAAGAGAATAAATCTTAATTCTAGTTAAGATTAAATTATTAAAGTAGAACATCAATAAAAATTAAAATAAATTATTTAAAAATCATTTAAAATTTTAAGATAAATTAAAAAATTATCCAATTTTATAAAATAATTAATCTTAAAATTTAATAGGTCCATGTCTCAGCGATACTAATTGCAGAAATGTTTGTAAAGGTGAAGGTAAAAGGTCAGGACACTGTAATACAACCTTCTTTGGAAAATGCTGGTGTGAGAATTAAATTAAATAAAAAGAAATTTTATTTGATAAATTAAAGAATATCTTAATTATTAAATTGTGAAAATAAAGAATTTTTAAATAAATACTTAAAAGACTGAATTTTAATTTATAGCCTTGAACTAATAAAAATTAGACAAAATTTTAATTTTTATTAAATCTAAAATATCAAGATTTCGACAAAAAATAAAAAAATATTAATAATTATAAATAATTTTTACATTCCTGTCAAGAAACTTATTCTTGAAATAGATACTTATTAAACTACAATTACATATTATTTTACTCTAACATGCCATTATTTTGGCTGTAAATAGTTAAATTTCAAATAATATGTATGAGCTTGAAATTTTTCAAAATTTTGAGAATTAAAAAACAGAAATAGGTAATTTAGACATCCTTTATAAATTAGTAATTAAACTTGGATAAAGATGGGCAGTAAGGGTGTATAATATCTAAGGTTGCTGGATATAATTAAATAAATACCTAATTATATTTTAACAAAACCTTTGGCGCTGGTCTAGTTTATGCGTCCAATGGACTTTTATGCGTCCAATGAAACTATGAGTTCAATCAAAAAATAATTGGATTTTTCTTAGTATTGCAAAGTTGGGGTATGGTTCCAAAGCATTTCTTCATGTTCGGGACCTACGCCCAATTGGTCTGGGACCATTCATTGCCCCATTACTCGAAATTTCGTAAAGTTATAATTGTTTTTTCGAAATTTTTAAAAATGGGCTATAACTTACCGAAATTTCGAGTAATGGGGCAAGGAATGGTCCCAGACCCATTGGGCGTAGGTCCCGAACATGAAGAAATGCTTTGGAACCATACCCCAACTTTGCAATATCCAATTTTTTGTTGCTTGGACTCATAAACTTTTCATTGGACGCATAAATTAGACCAGCGCCAAACCTTTTTCCATCATAATAAAGTTTTGTTTTAAGAAAAAAAACTTTCGAAAGGATTTGTCAATGTTTTTTGTTCAAACATATAAGGCTTCACATGATTTTGACGGGAATCGATTATGCACTATTACACATTAAAGCACTTTTCCCGCTAATATTCTAAATAATTTCTCAATAATATTTAATAAATTAAAAATTAAAAAAAATAATTTGTTTATCATGTCTAAAAAGTTTTTCAGTTATTTTTAAAATTATTTTTCTTAATTTTTAAATTTAGTTGCTATATAATGTTTTATTTTTATTATTCTTTTATTTTATTATTTCAATTATTTTATTGTTTTGATCATAATAATGATAAAGAAAATGTTGATAATAATGATAAAGAAAATGATGATAATGACTTTAATATAGATGATTTTTTAAATTTGGATAATGACTTGGATGAATTTGAATGTAATTAATTATGTAAAGCATATAGCTATTTTAATTTCTAAGGCTATGCAGTAGGCGGCGTGTTGTAATGGCTAACACATCAGTCCGGTTTACTGAAGATGCTGGTTAACTCCCAGCCGCCGAATAGCCTTTTGCATTAGCTAAAAGAGAAAAAATGGCTAAAGCCCAGCTGCTTTACTATTATTTTGTTCAGCCAAAACTCTCTATAAGATTTACCCTTTGGGATTTATAATTAAATTTTTAATAAGGTATATCGTTAATTGAAGATAAAATTAAAATTTTCTTCAATTTCCCCCTCCAATTATTATTTTCCTTTTAATATTTATTTATTTTACTTTTAGCAAATTTCGAGTTTATTGTTAGAATTTCTGGAACATGGACAAAACTTCGAGAATATAAATGGCTTGTTTCTGTAGATCCAAAAGAACGTTTTAAATGTTCTATGATTAATAAAGACTCTATTAAATATGAAGGAGAATTTTTGAAAGAATTTCCAAATAAAGACATGTTATTTAATTTTAAAATTAATGAAAGTAATGAAGATATTAAAAATAATATTTGGTATTTAGAGTGCTCATTAAGTAAATATTTATTAATCGAACATTTGTTACCTAACCTTGAAACTCAGGTAAGGGCATTAAAAATAAATACCGTAATAATAAATAATAAATCTAACTAAAGCCCTGTGCGTTTATTTTTAAATGGGTCCAGTTGGATGGATTTATATTAGATATGGGCTTCTATTAGGGAATGGGCGTTTATTTTTCAAATGGCCTCATTGGGTGGGCTTGTATTAGATATGGGCTTCTAATAGAGAAGGGCTTTAATAAGACATTTACGGTAAATATAAAATTATAGGTATATAGTTTAGTTTGCATGAAATTTGAAATATTCGTTCTTTTGGTTTTATTTAATCTTATAGTTCACCATATAGCTTATAAAATAATGATTAGTTAATATTTGTTAAAATCATACAATTTAATTTATATTTTAATAGTTAAAGTTAATATTAATCTAACAATTAGATACCCTAAATCCTCTAAAATATCCCCCGCGGCTATTTTTCAATCGTCCTCCAGAGGGGGCTATTTTAGAAAGGGATTTTAATTTAAGGCATATTAAAATATATTATTTAAACAATTATCACATCATTAAAATTTCAAAAAAATTCTTTAAGAATATATGGCGGCCACTAATTGATCAAGAAATTAAAACCAACAACGAAATCACTGTTTCTTTTTTAAATAATCCAGAAACCGATATCAATTTGCTTGAAGAGGAGCTGAAGGAAAATCAACAAAAATTCCAACATTTAAGCGGTGAAGAGTATAAAATTCGGTCAATTCAATACTCGATAACATATGAAAAATTAATAGAAAATATTCTTGTTCAAAGTTGGAGTGAATATAAATATGGAATTATTTATTTCAAATTAAATAATATTAAATTAATATTTGATAATTTGATAGACAAAGAAATTGAAGAAAGTTATTATGATAATATGATTAATATTTATAAAGAAGTTGTGGAAATTGTAATTGAATTGCAACAGTTGAATGTTCTAAATGGTTAGTTTATTACATTAAATATCTAATAATATTTAGTTATATTATCATAATTATCGTAATTTTTGGCCAAGATTCTAGGTTGGGAATTCCCGAGTCCCTAAAACAGTAATCCCTTATTATGTACTTTATATATAGTTATTTTTAAATATTTAAATTAATTAAGAACAACAACCTGCTACTCAACAAAAAGAAATAAAAATATTTACACAAACTGAGTTGATTAATGTTTTATCAACGATATTTAATTCAGAACAATCAGATAATACTCCAAATAATCAACTAAACAAAACTATTTTACCACCTTTGCGTCTCGGAAGTAGTTCTGATGAGATATTAAAATACTATACAAATCAAGGTATTATTCGAGGAATACCTAATTTTGTGTCTATTCTACATATGTCAGATACTCTTTAATTATTAGGTGCGGACATAATTAGTGTCCGTTTTTTAGATTAAATTTCTAGGGGTGTTATTTTACATATATTCTTTCTACTTATTAATCAACATAAAGATCCGAATCTGCTCTTCATTTTAATACCAGGTTTAGCCATATACGCGCGAGATTTTTAAGAAGAAATATTACAACAAAATTATTTACCCAAAAATGCTGATAAAAATTTAAAGAATTCCGATTTTACTATTAATTCCTCTAATAATTTTTTGGAAGATTTTACTCATTTTATAGATTACGAGAATATAAAATTAGATCAGGCATTTAAAAATAAAATGAAACCAGCAACTTTGAAAGATAATGATAATTCAATTTTAATCCCAATTTCTAACATTATACAATCAAAAAATGTATTAACAGGTAATAAAGAAAAATTATTAAAGATAATAAAGAAAATTTGGATTATGGTAAGAAAAAATAAAAGGTCTTTTTAATTTACCGTATTTGCCAAAATAAATACCCAAGGTATTTTTGATTCAACCTCTCTCTGGAGGTAGTAATTAATAGGGAAGGGGTAATAATTTAAGCTTTAAAGAAAGGCTAATTACAACTATTTTTAAGGGGGGTAATTATTTTTTCGAGCTCTGGCTGAAGTGAGTAATTAATAGAAAGGGGTAACTATTTGAGAGAGGGACATTATAGTTACATAAGAAATATAAGAATATATTTATATTCAGATATTTATATATAAATATATTAGTTACATAATAAATATCTGTAGTTACATAATAAATATCTGAAAATTGTTTAAGAATAAAATTTATTTTAATCGTTTATTTAAAATTTTAAATTCCAAAATAAGTTTTCACAAACTATATTAAATCCCCCTAAGAATTAAAATTTTATTTTAATTTCTAAAAATTTTATTTAAATACTCAATTAATTATATACATATAGCTGGAGCCTCAAACAAACTAAGAATTAAAAGTTTCACAACAACAAAACAAAGATCCAAAAGAAAATATAAAAAAATAAATCAAGAATGTTTAGGAGAATGTGTATTAAACACAATTCCGTCAACAATACCTAAAAATAATTTTGAAAATTTAAATTTAAAAAATAAAATTGATGAAAAGAAAGGAGATTGTTCTTATAAAAAAATTATATTTAAAACAAATGGGCAAACTTTAAATGATAAAGTCAAAATAAAAATTAAGAAACAGAAAGAAAAAAAGCTAAAAAGAAAGAAATTGAAAATTAGAAAATTAAGTAAAATTTAATTTGAAGATTTTTTTGAGGGATGGTTGATTGAAATGAGATGAGGGATTATAAAGAAAAGCATTATTTATTACTAAGGCTGTGATAGTTAGGCATGTAAAATTAGTGAAATAGGCGCCTAAAATAGGCACCAACAAGCCAAAAAAGGCACAAAAATAGGCATGTAAAAAAGGTTATCAGACCATAAAATGGAGATAAAAACAAAAAAATAACCATTTAATCGTCATTTTTTAAATTATAAACTATTTATTAAACAATTTTACCAGTTATTCGTCATTTTGAATCATTTTTTGAAAAAAATGGGGTAAATTTTTTTAAAATGTCGATAATTGACAAAATGGAAATCTCGCACAACACACAAAACGTCGTACCCCAAAACGTCCCAAAACCAAATCGTCCCAGTTCA